ATTCATTGATTAATTTATTATTCCTTACTGGAAAAGATAGTTTTTGGTGAAATGTTTATATCCTTCTAAATCCAAGTTTACTCTTGAAAATTCAGGTCACTGGTTAGTGTTAAATAACTAGCTGTTCATTAGGAATTTGCTGTGTATATTAAACAATTAAATTTGTTCACATTACTCAGTAGTTTTAAGATTAGAACTTAACATAAAATTATGTTTACGTACTATTTAACTGATAGTTATCATTATTGCTACGGAAAAATGGGTGTTACACTGATCTATAAAGGGTACGTTACCATGAGAAGATTTTTTAACATTACACTTAACTTCCAATATGAAATTTAATGAATGGTTTTTTAGTGTTATTTGGATGATGTACAATCTAAGTTCACTGTTAATAAACAATACATATTATGATAAAATGTACAAAATAGGCACGGCTTTGAAGTTATCATCTTTTTCCAGTTAGATTCGTGGACGTTTAGCACTGATTTCGTTCGAAACACTTGAAAGATTTATTAAAAAATTTCATGCAGTGGTTTAAACAGAAAGTTCTGCCGCCAAATTATTGATGGACATGAAGATAGCTATTGTATTCTTGAAAATACGCAGAAAACTTTTCATTCGCTTGTACATTCATGACGATAACACTGTATGCGCCCATAAATATCTCCTAATGAGTTAGATATTTTTATTTAATGTTTACAGTGTCATTGACATACTTTACTTAACATTAGAGTAAATAAAGTTAACTGTGAACTTACTAACTACAACCTTAATAGGAAGGAAGAGAATGGTCTATAAATATAGCCCAAATGACTTTATAGCTCTAATATTAACTTTTTGAATTTTAATCCGTAAGGAATCTTAGTAGTTAAACGCTAAAGTTTGTAGAAATAAATGATGAATGAAAATACTATGTCAAAGCGGCCAAATGAAGTACATAGTTAGACTATAATATTTCAGGAAGCAGACATGAAAAGGATGAATAGCAACTGGAAAAGATTGCCCAGAATAGAGTTGGATGGAAAATGCTGGTGGGCGGTCTATGCTCCTCTGTGAACGGTAGCAGACGTAAGTCCCTTAAATTTTCTATCGAGTCACAGAAAATTTTCAAATCATAAATTTCATATAAATCAACATCCAATCAAATGTGACTGATTCCCATGGAATTCAACTAATCAGATCTCACATGGAAATTATTTACAACCAATTAAATAATAGTTTTAATGGAGAAAAAGTATGTCTATGGACAAATTGAGCACATATTTCAATAACACTAAATTAATCAATGTTTCCCTAATATTTATGGTCATACCATCAAAATTTAAACTAATGGGTACAAAAATACTCACAATCGGTTTAATGTTAGCCTTAAATTTAGGAACGTCATGAAAATTCCTGAGTTGTGACTAGCTGACAGAATTATTTCGGCCATTCCTAATTAATGTCCAGTCACAGAAAGCTGTTAATCTATACACATGGAATTAAGTTCTCTATTTAAAGTTTTGATTATTGTGTGAATAAATTATTTCTGGTACAATTCATATTCTATTTACATAAATCCGACTAAGTATGCTCCAGTTAATTTTAGTTCATCCTTACTGCAACTGAAAGAATTCTATCACTAGGCAATATATCAAGATATTATCAAAGAAATATCTAATTCGAAGTTCCAAAACCTATAACATTATTTCCCTTTGTAATTCTTTTTACTCTACTTTAATGACCTTATAACATAGACCCATTTAATGTACCACACCCATGAAAGTGTTTTACTTTTATTAGACCTTTAAAATAGTTAAACAAAACTAGAGCAAGAATAAAGTCTAACAGATGTCCTTACGTAATTTATTGATTAATTTTCAAACTGATACACTTTAAATTGTGAATAAAAATTTTGCTCGTACAAATATACCTCACTGTATGCTATCACTATCATATTTCACAATTAGAGAAAGTTAACAAAAAGAAAAACAAAGGAATAGCAGTGAGAATATTACAAAAATTAGTAGAGAACAGAAATGATAATTCAAGAGAAATTGATAAAAAGGGTAGTGAAAGGTACAGGATATGATGAATGGGGGGAGGGGTTACATAGAGAAAATGAATTAAAGTTGCTGTACGAATATAACTTATTTGGAACCAAAGTCTGCAAATTCTCTAAACTTACACTAAGATTAAGAGATCTGTGGCTCCTTAAATCCTTTACATCAGTAGTAAGTAAAATTATACACAAATGCAAAGATATAGTATGATCATGTTTACTATTCTTCAAACTAGTTCTCAAGCTAACCACTTGTCCCGAATATCTCAGCCAATGAAAGTTCTCATTCCTATAAGTTAATTTCGTGAATTTATCACCAGTAATATTCCACGATATACAAGAGACAGTTAAATATATTACCTGCTTTTATACTGAGTAATCTAGAAAGACAGAAACAGGATATTAAACTGTGACTTCATCAACCACTTAACTAATATTTAATATTTTCGGGATGAATAAGGATTTGACTTGTACATTAATCAAATGCAACCCAAATTTTGATTGGACTGAATTATACTTGTATTTTCACGAAACTGTATTGTCTACGTTCCCCAACTTCATGAAATAATCCACTAATTATAAATCGACCTTTTACGGAAGAATTTTATTTCTACAGCAATAACTATAACGAATGTAAATGCATACAACTTAAGCGAACATCGCGACGTAACCGATTACGATGACAAATAATGCCTCTGTCTCAAACACAAGTGCTTAGGTGAGAAAATTCCTGTCGAGTGGTCCGTTGTAAAATATAATTTACTCCCGAAGAATACAAAAACAGTACACTGGATTGATAATTATTCTTCAGACCGAATGACAGAAAAGACTAAGGGGGAAATGAATGAGGCTCGATACATCCAACCTCTCAATAAGTGTTCTAAGCTTCATATTTCCACCCTGTGATTATTATTTTTCTACTATACCGGCGATACGTTGTAAAAAGTGCATTATTTTCATATTTGACTTTTCATAAACGTTCATTCAAACTACGAGACATCGCTACTACAGATTATACTTGTGAGTGAAGCACGAAAGATGACTGAAACAAAATATAGTTTTATCTCGCATTTCTTGATTTACTCAATTCCATCAAAATAACCAATTGTAAGCAATTATCGGTATTCGTTAGAAACGTTTTGCTCTAACTACAATTTAACAAAAAATTGTATAAATTAACTGTCAGAACTTTAAACCGAAGTTGTAATCTGAATAACTCCCCTAACAATTTACATGATGTAGTGTGATCTGCAATATCAAATATCCCAAGTGATATCATGACTAGACAAATACAAACCAAGTTTCAAAGTCAGCGTAACAAGTGGGATTAAAATATTTTTTTACTGCACACGAAATCCAAAGTTGGCTTGTATTCTACTTGAACATGTTCGTTGGTCTACTAACAACTTCGTTATACATTGATTACTTTAAAATGACAGTCTGATAAACAAAATAAAATAACGTTCACAGTGATAAAAACCACGCTGTGATGATAACAATTTAGAGTTTCTAAATTTAACGACCAGCGTAATAGAATGGACAATTTCGTTTAATAACGTTAGATAAATGACTAACGTTATGAGATTTGACTGAATTGATAGTAAATCAATTTAGTCAACCACCCTATACAGTTAGTAAAGAATGTAGCTGGTACAACACGTATATTAAAAACTGGAAATGTGTGACGACTGAGTTCCAAGGTCACGTCAAACAAATATCTTAAGATGGAAAGGTTTGAGTAGAGAATATAAGTAAATATTCGCTCAATCAGCCCTATGTTGGTCAAGAGTAAATTTTTATTTCATAGTCAGGAAACTGTAAATCAGTGTATATGATGAAGATTCATTGGTTTCCTATTTCAGATGAATAGAAGGTGGTCAAAAAGCATTGTAAATTCTGGGTATCGTACTGAGTCCTAGATTCATGGCTGTTCGTTGGATGCAAGCCATAAATGCAGCACATAAATTTTGCAGTACTTTTCATACTACTTAAAGTAGGAGAAAACTTTACAGAAGATTTACTACATTACATTCCTAGAGTAGAATAGTGGAATATTCCAAGACTAAAGTTTAGCTAATGAGGAACATTTGAAAACCTCAATATTTATACTATGTGAAATATTTAACAGTACATAAAATTAATAAAAACTTGTAACCCTTTAATTCCCAGTACCATGTCCAAATTGACAGCTAGAGAAAACAATTGAAATTAATTTCCGAGTATAAGTGTACTCGATTTTCAGTCAAACTTTTCCATTTTAGTGTTAATGAAACTACGCAGCTATTCGGATAAAAGTATTTCAACTAAGATTCAATAGTCGAATGTTTAATGATTCAATCACTAAATCATTCCTTATTTACAGTGTTTAATTATAGTTCAAAGAGTATCTTAACTGAACACATAGATATTGGTACAAAGGGGCACCGAATACACATGCGCCACACAAATCACTTGATTTGTATGAGGGCTGTGACACTGCCCGGGTGCCCAAACCAGAGCAGATGATTCTCTTTAGGGGCCACACCCGGAGACTTTGACCTAACGGTCTAATCTACAAGGCAGTGGATCAACGTAAGGAGATGCAATCCCGTGGTAACCGGTAACCAATAATTGGTTCATACGCCATTCTCTCCGTCAGGATACTGGGGCCCATGTGCACCATTAGTTTGGAATCAGGGTTTTCCAACTCCCCTAGGTGGATCCTCCGTGTCCATGAACCCGGTCATTCGCTTTTCGTCTTCTCAATTCCGTAAACAACACCCCCGCCACGAGAAGGCAATGAGTAGGATTTCCCTGGAAGATGCTATATACGCGTGGCCATGTGAGAGCAGTTCCAGAGGGAGAGTGAACTCTCCCCACTCTCAGCCGTACCAGGGGATTTGGGGGCTAAGTGTATAAATAATATTTGATAAAACAAATAAACACTTCGCATAAATATATAATATAAATCATTCTCTTTGAAATCACACATATATATTTAAACAATATTGTTACAAAATGAGGATTTAATTCATTGTTTTCAAATCAAAAAATAATAATTAAAATTCATTGTGAAAATAGAAAATCAGAAGGAAAAACAATAACTGTCTTGAACAATTTGTCGCAATATTCAAACAATCATTTAAAGTTTAATAATCAGATAGAAATAAAGAGAAAAAATCATGAGTACATTATCATGAAGATACAGTAACCGAATAGAATACAACAAAGTCATTAATACAAATCAATCATGTTAGCACTTTATTAAGAAATAATATGAAGCGGAGAAAAGAGACAAAAAAATGTAAGTCATTTAATTATAAATCATATTACAAATTTGATATGAAATAAATTATAACAATAACAGTAATTTTCATTATAAAAATTATCGAAAAGTTGTTATGTAATAAATCACCAAATAACTGATGTTCATTAGAAATAAAGAATTATTTGAAATTAGTAAATGAGAAAGAGAGAGAGAGAGAGGGAAAAACTCGTGAATAGGTAGGTACGAACATATGCGGACATGTACACACATTTTTTTTTTAAATGCACATTTACACTTTTATTTCTTGTTCAGAATAGGTGGCAATAACAAAAATCATTTGACAGTTAGAAAGAGAAGGATTTAAATCCGGTGATCTGTATAAAACGTTCTGGCTTTCAAAAGAATATGCATTACATCGACATTTGATGGATAATTCTTAGTGTAAATGATACAAAAAAAGCATTAAATTAAAATATTTAAATGACAATTCGTTTAAAATACTCTTAAAGTAAACTTAAATGTGAATTAACATCTAGGTTATATATGTTCAATAATAGTTTATCATTCTTCTTAAACACATATAATTTAATAATTATTGGCCTAATTTAACGGCCGGAAAACTGAAAACCCAATAGTTTAACTATTGAAAATGTCCTCTGAAATAAGTGAAAAAGTTTCAAAAGACGGATAAATGCATACTTAATTCATATGGTAATGAATGAGTAAGGACAATGTACTGACTTCAGCTAGATCAGAATTGTAAACCAGAAAACATTACCGGACAGCTATTTGGTCATAGTATACGACTATTTATTTCACGTGCGAATCAACAACTTCATTAGATACTGAACCTAAGATTTTGAGGTAGTGCCTCAGCAACTAATTAACTTTTAAAAAATACTGATCTTCCATTCTAACTCTAGTTAAATCCTGATATTAATTGAAATAGAAACAGACATTAGATGATGAGAAATATAACTAGAGTGAGTTACTTTAAACCTGGAAAAATGATTTAGATTCCTTTAGCAAATGATGAACAAGGCAAAGTTTTTGAACAATACCATATGTGAGTTGAAAGAACAACATAGGCAATTTAATGAACAGTTCGAACTAATCTGATAATCAATTATCCCTTCAGAAATGTTATTCTAACAGTAACAATTCACTTTCTTGGATAACTTAGATAACTAAACGATAACTGGTGTTTAAAACCAGCTAACAATTTAAATAAAGACTTTCAACGTTTTCAGATAAATTATTCTTGATTTTTTTTAAATAAGCATCATTTACAATACAGAGTTTAGAGTTTTCGAATTTCATACTGATCTTAATTACACAACTAATGAAAACCAGGAAGTAACGGACAGCTACTTTGTCGTAGCATTATAGGTTACCATTTAACATTTGATATAACGATAATTAATTACACAACTAATAAACAGTTAAAACACATAAGTTTATAAGTTTGAACAGCTTGTTAATTATCAGTCGATAATAATATCTGAAAACCTGAGAACTAAAAAGACTCATAAATTCGTTTATTACCCCAGTTAGCAAGTAACTAATTTAACAAGTAATTTTTCAAGATAAGTTCTCTAATCATACATTTATTAACTACTACGTTTTCACAAGTTGAAATCATGAGTCAATTGAAGCTAGACCACCATGGAAAACCTGGAAGCGCTGGACGGCCGTTTCGTCCTAGTATAGGACTCCTCAGCAGTGCGCATCCATGATCCCGCTTCAATTGACTCGTGATTTCAACCAGTGAAATTTCTAAAAATCTCCCCAAAACCCATTCTGATATTACGCTTTTGTTAAATCGAATAAAAAAACCGCTTATTAAATTATGCTACTTATTAATATCAAAAACACTTTCAGGATATCTGAAATAAAGTTGTTTTCTAGCACAGAGAAGTAATTCACAAGTAAACTATATATATATATATATATAATCCGTATTGTTAAACTATACAACATACGCATATAAAGTTAATTTCTCCTTTTATTTTAATCCTACAAGAAAATCATCATAGAAAAATTCATGTGAAGAATCAATTTTTTTTATTATAAAAATTATTTACTTGAACAAGTTGAACAGCCGTAGGAAAATCTGCTTTCAGTAGTTGATCACGAATACCACTTGTAATTAAAGGAAAAAATTGCCAAAATGAAAACAATAAAAACAATAATTATAAATAACAACGTAGAGAAAATTGAGAATCTACGAGATGGATACTAAAGTTTCTAAGAAAAATCAACCATTTCATTATTTTGTCCTCATATAACCATTAATTTGGACTCTATCAGTACATTGATAACTATTTATTTTACATTGGTTTAACTTAAAGATATTCATTTCATTTTACAAAGAAAATAACAACTTAACCGTGATGTGAATTAGCGTTAACATCAAATTTATACAAAGGGTTGAATTGTTATGAAGCTGTGGCTTAGTGGTAACAGCATTCGACTTTTAACCAGTAGGACTCAGATTCAAACCCTAATATATCTGCTTCAGCACGGTCGGTCGGATAGTATTACTACCTTTCATATTTACGGTATAAATTGAAGTCATTTATATGAATTTGTATCTGATTAATGATTTGACTATAATCAAAACAATAAGTTCATATCACAAATGATTTAAATGTAAGTTTTTTTTAAAAGTACAAATGGAAATAACAGTGACCAGAAGCATTTTTAAATGAGATGAAAACCAATGAAGCTCTAATGAATGTAATTGTTATAGAAATCTGCAATATCTGACGTAACAAACAAACAAGAAGCAGTCGATTTGGAAGAAGAAATGAGAAAACTCGTTAAAACTATCGAACAATTAGATTGTGAAACTAATCGATAGCGTATTTACCGACAGAATATTTAATGTTGTGTTATTGGAAGCTATTGGTGGTAAGCTTTAGTCTACGTTTTAATAATCATCACCAAAACTTTTCTCTAACCTTTAAATAATTAACGGTTGATCCGAGAATTCAAGGAAGCATCGCCTAGTACTGGAGTCGTCTATGTAACTGATCTATTGATGTTGTTACTAACTTCCTGAAGAAATAAATAGAAACATATGCCATGTTGTCTAATTCTTAGTACTCTGGGCACCGTAAAACATACCATTGGTTAATAGTTAATGTCTGATTAATGCAGTAAAACTATTTAATCTTTATAAGTGTGTAAACTAATTATGTTGTCATCAAAGCCTCCACCTATCAGTCCATTAAAATCCTATGAAATTTTATATTTACTCAGTTGTATAGACACAATGTCAATTAAAAGATGAAGTTTCATGTTTGATAAGCCGTCATATTTCAAAGATATATAACATAAACTGGAAAATTCTGAATAATATACTCTAAATATCTGGACAAAACGGTTTAACTTCAAGGAAACAAATAGATCACAATAACGTTGACCAACTGCTTTATCAAGTAATTGTTGGTTGAAAAGAATAAAATAAAATACTATTAAAACGGATTAATCAACAAATATAAATTATGTAAGATAGTAAATTATTAAAATGCAATTTTTCTAGATAATTTTTAGAATTAGTCAACAACAGCCACTGAAATGATGACTCAGAACAATTTTTATATGAACTGTAACTAGTAAGAAGTTTATACAATGAACTAAATATTTTGGTTAACAAAGATCTATTACTCTACGTATATTAATGAGGTATGCATTACTATGAAGTTTAATACAATTGTATTAGATTGTAATCTGAATAAACTAAATTCTAAGTAAATAGGTCAAAATGAAGATATATTTGTCAACCAAATACTATTAACAATTTGAAATGAACATTATTTACTAAAGTGAAAAATAATTCAACAAAATTATAGATAGAAATAGCTTACATTAACATTGAACAGCAAACATATGGAAGTAAGTTGAACCTGTGTGGATCTGAGAAAAGTGTATCCCATAATAGGAGTACATCTGTAACACAATAGAGAAATACGAGTAGAATACTGAAATGTAATTGAAACCAATTTCATATCTATGAAAAGACCAAAATTGGTGTTATGAACAATAAGTAGGGTGATCAGAATGTGCTAGATAGAAAACACTAAAACAAAACATCACTTCAGAAAACATTATGTATTTGTATCAGATATCAAGATGTGTGAATTTTAAATTAATTTGTACTGACTTGGATCATCTCGATACTGACTGAAATTTGATCAGTCTTGATTGACATATGTGCATCGTGGACGGATTACCTCGATGTAGTTTTTATGATGTTTATGTAGAGTAGATGAAATGTGACTAGGAGTGAAACCAGGGACGCAAGCGAACAGCTCTCTAGACTCAATAATCAAGTGGGTAACGAGTTGGCGACTGGAGCCAACAGTATTGGGTTCGAGTCCAGGAGTGGAAATCAACTCTGGGATGCATGTATATCCAGACGACGTGTCTCAAATACGACAGAACATGAGTCCCAGATTCTAATAAAGGCCACACTTCATTTATTCTATATAAAAGATGTATGAATGTGAACTATCATTTTAGTTAGTGGATGAACATGGGAATAAAATATCTTCAGTTAGGTTATCTACACTTACATCTAATAACTTGTATCTTCACTTATGGGCAAAATATAATGAATAACGAACTTATGGTTTAAATACATGTAAAATGGTATTCGTCTTAATCAACTCCAACCTCCCAGTTGAAATACGCTAGAAACTGAACTTAAAAATGTAATTAAGTGTTGTTCACCTTCTTCTTAACAGTTTCACTAGTATTCAAGAGAGTCGACGATATAAAACGTGTTAACATAATATACTATTTAATAAACAGTAATTCGTCTTTTTCTTTAAATGGTATATATACGTTCAAATATGAGTTTCAGTTTTATATATGAATGTAACAAAACTGAAAATGAATGAACATTAGTTTAAACAATTCCATTCATTCATTCATTCATTTTTAATCAATACTTTGTATACGATTGAATTTTCTCGAGCATAAAATAAATCAAAAATTAACAACACAAACCACAAATCATTAAATTACGTAGTTATGGTCGATTTCTGTGTCATTTCTTTTAATGATGAAAACGCACACAGTATAGATTAGTGAGATGAAAATATTCTCATAAATACAGTTGCACCATTATAAGAAATGAAGAGTTAACATAATAAGTTTCGCTTAAATATGTGCAATAATATAATTTCTAAGAATGTAGTTCTAAATTCTCTTATTTTTTCTCATGCCAGTATAAACTAAATGTAACGGTAACACACCTTTGAATAAACAACTTATTGGTTTGAAAATTGTACAAGACATTTCTTTTTAAAATTTTCATTGATTGAAATTAAAAGTGATGTCTCTGGTTAAAATAAAAATTCGATGTAACAGTAAGATTTCAATTTTATTATCTGGTAAATAACCCAGACAAAACTTAGATACCTTACAATTTTCTAAGCTTTTCAATACATTTTAATTATGTTTAATTGTGTTAACTATTGTATTATTAACCATTGTATTAACCATTTTTACTAAAAAAATAATAATTTTTTGAACAGTAGTTCTGTTTAGTTCATATCCATTTAATTGAGTGCACTGAACGGGTTAATAAATTGATTTTTTTTTAGTGGTTGTAATTTACATCACATTTTCCAATGTTATTTAGATTATCAATTGCATATCCGTATACAGTACACTACTCCAATAAGAATTAAAAAGGAGCAAGTAAAGTTCCTTACTTAAAATGGACACTAACTTGTAAAGTATTTTAACAGTTATGTTTGAAAACAAAATATACATGAAAAATGTTAAATAATGTAAATAATATTCAACTGGAAGTACAGTTAACAATATACACATAAGGATGTTAAACAATATACATAACATATTTGTTGAATGTATTAGACATTTGCTTACTAGTTTGAAAGAAAATCTAAATTAATTATAATTAGATAGAAACTCAAACGACAATAAGTAAACAAGATTGAAAATTTTGTAACTTTTAGCTGGGTTCGTAATATAACAATGTAATCAATATTATTCTGATCACACGAGAAAGAAACGACTGCATATTTAAAAAACAAAACAGTTACTTTGATCTATTTATGAAAATCTTAACGATTGAACTGAAATGAATTTAGTTATATTCACTTTGATAATGAATAATTATCCTAGAGACTTTATAAAAAGAATAAGTGAGGAAGAAAATCTAAAAGACAAAAGACAAACCAAAAAGAATGTGTTAACGTAGTAGTGATCTCATGTACCAAATGAATTTCAGAAGGATTCTAAATCATCATAATATAAGGGTATTTTTCCGAACAACCAATACTCTAAACTCTAAATTAATAAGAACCAAAAAATCAACACCAAAGGAGGAACGATAAAACTGTGTATATAGGATCTAAGGTAGTGAATATGATATACATGTAGGTGAGAAATAACGGCAGCTTAATGTGAGAGTGAAGGAACATAAAATTTCTCTGAAGCACATTCACAAATCCTAAGAAGACATGAGAAAACTAGAAAACAATTCAGCGATAGCATTACATTCAATAGACTCTGGGCATACAATTTATCCCAATGACACAAGGTTCCTCCAAAAAGATTTACTTCATACAAAATAAGATTAACAGCTGAAGCCCTACATAGATGAGTAGATCCAAACAATATTATGTGAAGAGATGGTATACAATCAGCTGTCCCATGTTGACTAATAATTAACAAGTAAACCAAAACTCCCTCTTACATTTTCCTTCATTTAATCCATCTCTTATTTTTGTGGAGAACAACGATTACTTTCACTTGTTCTAGTCAGTTGGTTTATCTGAAAATACGGTAAACAATCAGTTTGGTTAACATAATAACACAAATGTTTTTTTACTTACCTTCATTTTATGTATGATGTGACATGTTTGATTCATATCATCTATTAAATTATCTGATTTCGTCAAAAGTACCTAATTGGGGGTGATATATAATCAGTGAATTTTCTCACATCAGATCTCCATACACATACAAACAACTATCATCTCACCTTATTCATTGTAATTTTATATTCCTTGGAAATATGTAGAAAGTAGGATATTTTACCTGAATATCAATTCTTTGCAGTCAACCGCCAGGTTTTTGTTTTCAGATATTATGTGGTTTATTGAGATTTAGGGTTCTGGGGGTTAGCAATCATATTTTCTATCTATTCATGTATTTAACAGGCACAAATGCGTTCCAACTACAGCAATATAACCCTCTCCGTTATATCATTAGCAGTTGTGAATATAAGATATTTAATGCCTTAATTGAATATACTTTCATCACAGTGTCAATCTTCGGCGAACCTAAAATCCTTTAAGTGGGTGAAGCTATTTATAAAACTTTATAAGACGTCGAACTCATGAGTTTCAAGTGCTTTGTATAAGAAAATTGACGATATTACTAACAATAACACAACAGAATTACAAACCTGGAAGCATGAATTCTCGTGCCAGCAACAAGCTTAACCAACGAAATGCAAAATGTTCCGGAACAAGTTCTATTTTTTCAAAGTGTTTAGATAGATTATTGTCGAATTTAGATAATAAGTCCGATAAAATTTTCATTTGCCCACCTGATAAAAATTGAACAAGTAAACAACAAAACAAATTAAGTTTTAGAATTTAAAAAGTAACAATATATTATTACCACCCATACTGAGGAATAGAAAACATAATGAAATAATATGTAAAAATCCGATAAATTACTACATAACCTATCTGACAATACGTTGCTTTTGTTATTATCGTTAAATACGCATTACTGTTGTATAAGGTATCGTTTGGTATCAACAATTCATTACAACCATCACATAACTTTTATCTGTTGTAATGAGGCATGCATAAAGATCTGTGATGAAATCTACAGTTGGTATCAAGTGGAATGTAATTAAAAACTATCAGCAATAAAGTAGACGCAACCTTCTTTTGACCTGTGGCTAAATCTTGAAAATTAAGACTGAAAATACCATATATACCGCTTCTTTTCACGTACTTTACCTGGTTTTCTACTCATTTCGATATAATACTCCTTTGTTAATAATCATGTCGAATCCTTTTTCACTGTACAGCGTTGTTATTTGAACCGATAACTAAATGCAACGGGTATTACCTTGTGTTTTATCAGTTAACCTCCAACAAAGCATTAATAGACATCGGTAAATAGCGAAACTTCAACCAACAATCTTACTCGACATGCGTTTTCCAATAAACCAGTGTTTTTACTTAATAAGGGGCATTACTCTTACAGAATTTTCTTCGAAGTAAAAAGCTATCATAATTCTGATATGATTTTAGCTGTAACATACTCATGAATCGAGAATAACTCGAGTAACATATTGGTAGTTTACTACATGTATGATAAATGTGTAACTCAACTAAATGGTATATAAAATGATGTAGAGATTTTGTGTTAAATTAGTTTAATGGTTATCTATTTCATCTGACCTACTCTTTTGAGGTAAACTACGTAACTAATTATTTTGATATACAGTGACTAAACCCGATGTAATTTCATACAGTACATATTTATTCAGTGCAGATATGTGACTGACCTATAAGATTATATTAATAATGTATGATGAGAGGAAATATTGGCTAAAATACCAGTTATTCTTTTTAAATAAACAACGCATTGAATCGGGTGCTTTTGTGAAGGAGAAATGAATCGAAAACCGTAAATGCTCACCTAGACCAGCTTCATGACTACCATCTAACTTTCGTAGAAAATTAGGATGAATTTCAGTCATAAGGTTATTGAAGCAATAAAATGTATCCATTTCTGCATATTCTGTGTGAAAAGAGTTGAGGTAATAAAATTAAACAGGATTTCGATACATCAAGAATAAAAATTGCGAAAATCAGGAGTATAAATTATCAATGTATTTTTCGACAGACTAGTTTATAATTTACAAAAAATGTCAGTAGAGACGTATCTTTACTCCTCAGATGACTACAAACTAATCACGAGCAGAAGGTATTATCCCCCAAAGCTTCCTAGTGAATAAATTAAATCTAAAATAAAAGTGTGATTTAGATAATTAAGTCTTCATTGCTTTGTTACAAGACAAGTTGAAAGATCAAAAAAATTTCGGTCCTAAATAAATTTAGAGATCTTTTTTATACAAATATTTTTTCAATAACTAGGGTGTTTACGACTTGAGACAAATTATATTCCAACTGTTCATATGACTGATAATCCAATACAAGCAAAATGACCAGATGCACTAATATATTATTTTAATATTTTGATGAAGATTACTCTCGAAATAATTACTAAACCCACTGCCACAAATAAGTACACAAAAGATATCTGAATGACTTTACAGGTTGACATGTACATCGACTGAAATTGATGCACCACATCATCATGGAGATGAAACAGTTATGACAAACACAACAGTAGTACAAATACTAACATTATCAGAAGTGGTAACAAAATATTAGACATACAATATATGATTTGAGGAGAAAATATAGGTTACTGAAACAAAAAATGTAGTCAATTGAGAGACTCAAAATCTGAGAGAAGACAGAGAATGGATGCATCTGCACAAATGAAAGTGATTCTGAGCCATGTTATATCACATCCGTAACGATTGGACACGATAATCTAATCGACATCGACCAGGTATTTTGCACACACAAACATGATTCAGTCTCACTGTTGATGACTTAACGATTGATACGAAGTTTTGGACTGACTAATCTTAGCTTTGTCACAGCCTAATTCTATATCATTCAACATCACACGTCGAGGTAGACAATGCTTGGTAATTCGTACGAGACAGCTCGACTACTTTAGTCGATGGAGATTTACTACATCATCAACCGATTCGCCCTCGCTTCCACGTTTCCTGCCCCTAACTTCTAACAACAGTCTTCAGCAAATATCAAAATACACAGAATAAACTTGCTTCTCCAGGATTCATCGGGGTCAGTGGCGAAAACATAGTATATCGGTGCAATAATTTCATTCATTCCTTGAACATAACCCTGAGACACATGAGTTTTATAATATACATATAGAATTCTTTCAATCACTTCCCAATGTGGTTCCTGATGCGGTGAGGTCGAATTCCAATCGCTTTTACGGTTTATCATACTTCTTTGTGATTGTGTTACTAAACCAGAAGATAATCGATGGCTTGGTTGGAAAGGAGCGTAGGTAGGTAGATGAATTATATTTGTAACACCGGCAAGATTTTTATTCAATGAACGGGACTAGAAAGAAAACAAGTAAAATTGAACACTTAAAACATGTTATGATAACAATAACATATACTTAAATCAAAAGCAATCCGTAGCAACAATCATAAAATACATCTTTCACCAGAAGTCTACATTAACCAACTATCAAAAACTGAGGGGTATAAGACCTTTCAATTGTTGAATGAATTCTCAGATGACAAACATTCATATCTGCAGCTAAGAAGTTGAGTTAGATTACTAACTAGTTGAATTTTAATGCATTGATTACTGTAGTTGGGTTGAAACTAAGAACGTGCATTTACTAAAAACTATAGATAGCCCATCTTTAGTAGTTTTAACAATCATAACTCTGTATTACGGTAGAATTTGACAATGACAGTTACTTAATGGCTTCTGATAACGGTTGTTCAGCTGATGTTAACTGTAACATGAACTATCTTTGAATAAAATACAGCAAAAAAGTGGTGTTTAGTAACTAACAGGAAACGTTCAATCAATCAAGCTATGAAACAAATTAGCCTACTGGCACAAGTGTCTAACGTTGGTCGGTTCATGATCTCAATGAAACTTAACAATCTCCATAACCCTATACTGACAATGCGATATATACTTGCCAATGAATCTTCTCAATGTTAGTTTTACTTCAATAGCTCCCTTTTAACTGTTCAATAACTAGCCAATCTGTGTAACTACATTTTAGGAAGACAATTTCACTTTCCGATATTCAAAAGCTATATAGATGGAACATTTGTAAAACTTGTCTTTGCGTCTTTGTATTAAAATATTTAGTCAGTCAGCTATAATATTAAAAAAATAAAATATTATAACCACTACAAAACCTCTTTTACGATATATACCGTTGAGTAAATTGCTGGTGCTTAAAATGTGCGTTGTTGCAATTATACTTTGTCTTATACGGAAACGATTCCAAGGAAACCCTTGAAATAAATCACGTCTTAGCATCCCTACACGAAATAATACTCAGTTTCTGAGATGTCCAACGAGAATCAGTGAAATACAATGCAAAGTTGGTAACCCAAATCATGAGATTTGTAAGTAAAACATTTGCTCAAAAAATACCAAGGAGAATTTTTAGGACTATTTACCTGAAGTGCAGAGGTTTCCCCTCTTCTCCGTAACACCCCAACAGGTACTTCCTTTCCAAATAATGATAGACAAGAATACTCTGTGGGACGACGAAAGAAATCAAAATCTGGACACAGTCTCTGACAGTCTTTATTAATCTGGAGTAAAATTTCATTATCGCGAAAAAACGCGATCCAATTTCCATCTGGTTCTAAATTCAGTGGCTAGAGAAGTAACAATAATACTAAATGAATATACTTACATGATCAGCAGGCATAGCATCTGCCACACAAGACTCAAATACAAATTCCTTTACATAACCTTCATATTGCCTTCTGTTAAAAGTGATCCGTTCTTGTCGTTTTTCGACATTATAAGGAAGATAATTTAAGAGGAACTGAAAAATGTAGAGGAATACCTTACCTTCCAAACTCTAGAACGGATCCCATTAGAATCGGGACAACCGTCAATAGACAATCTTTTAAGTTCTTCAATATTTACGTTTTCTCCACTTATAATATTTAGCATTTGTTCATGTCTATGGAACAATAAATCAGCATCGAGCGTACTACCTAGAGCATTTCATATCCATTACAGAGAGCTGTTTTAGTAAAATCAAATAATAGCGAATCTAATGAACATTTCCTTGAAATATGAGAGTTCTAAATTTCTCTAAAAAGCGTAAACATTTGAGAAAAGGTTTAGTGACATAGAGAGATTGGTACAAATGTGAGTTAGCTTAAATGCCCATCGCACATCAGAACGGCGAGATGAAATTGACATAATAAGAAACAAGATAACTGAAATGCTTAGTAGTGATGAGAATAACTGAATGCTGAGAATATTGTTCTGGAAGGGATGAAAAGGTACGTATGAGTGTATGAACATGATCACCACACGGACCCCAACTAAATATTTTGCACCTAACCACATAGCTCAAACCAAAAATCACTGACTACATGAACTGATGTTACATTATGAGTTGGCTTCCACACGATTTCTTACAAGCTAGAAGCTAAACACTTGTAACCAAGGTACTAGAAGTCATGGACGCACTAACAATACTGACAGTAGAACGCGAAGTGAGCCTATATTAACATTCTAGTGTTTTGCTCTTCCTATGGCTAATCATCTCAGAAGTCATCACAATATGGTTTAAAAACCGTCATCGAATAGATTCAGAAACGGATTGCGTTTATCTCATTGAATAGTCAGTAACAGGAACACCCTATCTCAATAACCAGGAACCAGCGCCATCAGAGAACACCATGTGGAAGCTGGATCTATGCAGGAGAACAGCTTCCACGGATTAACACAGGTCAAACGACCTTCTATCGTAAGGACGGGTATAAACCTAATAACTTAAACATAAAACTATTTAAATATTTATGTAAATTACCAAATATAATCAGACAAGTTACAGTATGGTGTGTGTTTATTATTCACTGTTCATGGAATCTGTTTAGAATGTGGTTAAACAGAAAACATCGACCTTTAGATGTAACAAGCAGTACGAAAGGTAACACAACAGAATTCACACGTTTCCCTTGATGAACACGAATCAATGATCATTATTTACCTACAGACGGAAAATCTTAGCAAGCACAAGGGATGACTAAAAATAGACAACAAGACAGACCTAGACAGGATCAGATATACAACTAGTTGCAGTCACATTTGCATCTGTTGCATTCAAAAGGTTATGCAAATATCAACAAGAGCGAACAAAATGAAATAATAGTAAATACTGCATTGTGGAAACCACACAGCCGACCAAAACGCCGTAAAATAAAGGACGGAAGTATACCGACAATAATAAAAACCATAAACAAAATTCCAAAGAACGACAATATATGGCGAATTCGTTACGCATTTTTAGTGTGAAGTTAAACGTCTACGACAGGATATCAAACGTCATCCCGCAAGAAGTTCTCTAAAGCACAAATATCGCTTGGGAACTCGAAAGTTAAGTTTCAGAAATTTGTAACTATATCATAAAAACCGTCCAATTAAAAACGGGATGGTTGCAAGAGAAATACGCAAACAGCTTTGACATGGCTTCCAGACAGGATATACAATGTTTGACCACATATTACTTTGAGACAAAAAATACATTTCTATTTTCGACATGAGCAAAATGAATAAAAAATAGCAAATTATGTAAATATCTATAAAATAAAAACCTTAAGAGCGAAGCGACTTCAGATTTATTCCAAAGATGAGCGGCGAGACCCAAATTTATGGACGAACTTCGAAGGAATCTTAAATGACCTTGACAATCATTAGTCAATCAGAAGACAATTAGTATAAGGTAAAAATATATTATAAGAAACTAATGAATTACAGTGGATATTCGGCGAAACTTTAATTTATGGACGAGCAAATCAGAAGCGTTTGAGCAATTTCAAGGTCACGGAGTCAAATTCAACACCTGATGCTCACATACGATCGGTTTACAGGGGATTTTAGAGAAGAGGTGATTATTGAGAGGCTACAAGATATGCGACTACTAAGAAGTTCTTGTACCTGTGACTGCGGTTATCAAATGACTGTAGTAAAGTGTGCAGACTACCGTGATGAGATTGTATTTCGTTGTTCTTCATGTTGGAGGAAAAAGTCTGCTCGAACGGCGACTTTCTTCGCTCGATCGCGACTGAAACTAAGGCAGATCATGATAACAGTTGCAAATTGGATAATAAAGTCACCAGTAACACTGGCTGCGGCGTTTGCAGATGTTACTGAAACTTCAGCAGTCCAGTGGTATGAGTATTGCACTGTAATTCATTAGTTCCTTATAATATATTTTTACTTTACACTAATTGTCTTCTGATTGGCTAATGATTGTCAAGGTCATTTAAGATTCCTTCAAGATTTGTCTATAAATTGGAGTCTCACCGGATATTTTTCTTTTACATGATTTAAAAACTTTTTAAGGGTTGATAAAGGTTCAGATGTTCTGAAATCATAATGCATACAGTATAGGAACTCGTCCATATGGCTCCATAATAATCGTCCTCTAGAGCCGTGGTGCGGTCTTAAAATTTCCTTCAGTCTCGACCACATGGCTTCAATATTATTAGTATGAACGCCAGTTGTAGGTTCGACGAAATGGCGCTTGTGCACTGCGACATGATGCACATACCCAAGTCTATATAGGCATCTATAAGCTCTCCAGCCATCCGTATTTACTGTAGTGCCTGGCTGCACGTATTTCTGTATAATTGGTATTATTGTGTCTGTTTGCCGGTTTCTGACCCTCTGAAAATGCCCCTTTTGCGCTGATCGATCATAAATTCCAAGTACCTGTCAAGTATATTTACGGAAGTGCTACTTACCCTATCTTACTTGATACTACGTCCCCTGTTGTATTTTCACTTTCCCACTACTGTTTCATCTATCTCCACAATACATCTTACTCCTCCGAATGATTGGTGTAAATGTGTCATTTTAATTGCACATGTCACGGCAATACTCATACCACTGGACTGCTGAAGTTTCAGTAACATCTGCAAACGCCGCAGCCAGTGTTACTGGTGACTTTATTATCCAATTTGCAACTGTTATCATGATCTGCCTTAGTTTCAGTCGCGATCGAGCGAAGAAAGTCGCCGTTCGAGCAGACTTTTTCCTCCAACATGAAGAACAACGAAATACAATCTCATCACGGTAGTCTGCACACTTTACTACAGTCATTTGATAACCGCAGTCACAGGTACAAGAACTTCTTAGTAGTCGCATATCTTGTAGCCTCTCAATAATCACCTCTTCTCTAAAATCCCCTGTAAACCGATCGTATGTGAGCATCAGGTGTTGAATTTGACTCCGTGACCTTGAAATTGCTCAAACGCTTCTGATTGGCTCGTCCATGAATTAGTCTCGATGCAAAAACATTGAAGCGTGAGTATAATATAATCACAGCTCAAACTGAGTAACATAAGACACGCTTTATTTTTAACAAAGACGGTGCAAACAGAAACGAAAATTATACGAATGACTAAAATTAATAAACTTCCTACAGACGCGCATATTACACTTGCATCTTACCTTGACCTTCTGTAACAAAAGTAAAAGAGCGCGATTCCAATAAGAGAATTAAAACTGTTCATCGGGTGTTTATACGTGAGAAAGAATAGTCAATCAAACCATATTTGAACGGTTATTTTCAATCTCAAGAGATGAATATTTACAACTTTAACTTTAATTCTAACACAATGTTTGGCACAGATAAGTTTGTTGATCTCCTTTGTTCGTAATGCCTATCGTTAATTGCTATAAGCGTTGTCATTTTTAAGTACTCCCAAATTCCGAGAAGTAACAATAAGTGTTTTGCAGAAATATGCATCTTGACAGCACTGCTCATTTTCCTGGGTCCTCATCTGAATAATATGCGAAGTGTTCAAACGAAGAAAATACGACAACGCCAAACACTTTGATCAATATAGCGGTCGGAGTTCTGGAAAATGTAGTTAGATATTCGTCATGATTTTTCTAAAGACAGGTAAGAACTTTTGTTCCAGTGGAATTTTTAAATTGGCTGTTTTTCAGAGACTTCGTAGTAACTTCGCCCCAAAATTTAATGTCACATCTCATCTAAGAACTCACAACATGGCTGAGCAGAGAAGTCCGACTTCAGGAACGACTTCTGTTAACGGACGTTTCCACTTGAATCTGCGTATTTCAAGTTATCAGATATTAGATTGAGGATGCCTCAGATATAGATAGTTTGACAACGCTTTAACCAGTAACACCTAATATGAATCGTACCCACCAAGGGAAATCAAAAGACAGAATCGGGGAGAATGGAAGGTATATTTGATGACTATCTGTATATCAAGAATCGTCTGATCTAATATGGCTAGCGATTGCAGAAGATGTTGAGCACAGCGTTCCCACTCGTTATCTGATGCGGATGCATGACCGAGCGCCTTCAGCGAGGTGAGTCCAATAAAATATGTGGTCAGTAACCAATATCGAAAACTTACAGAGCTATTTGGGGTGGGGATTTATTCACCGCTACAGATCACTCCTCTCCCTGGTGGGGCAGTGATGACTATAAGACGTGACCAGCCAGAAGTTTAACCCCAACGAGTTTTGTCGTTGGTAAACACTCTTCTGATAGCTTCCTAGGTTTAGCAGCGTCTGGTCGTCTTTCCTTACTATAAGGGACCATGAAGTACAATATAGTAAGAAAATAATGTACAATCAAAATTTTGCTTCCTCATAAACCCCATCGTTCTTTTTATCGTTTTTTCCAGTCGTCCTGGAAAAGAAAAAAAAAGAATATGTAAGTGCATATCGAAATAAACTCGTACGCAGTTTAAGACACAAAATGGGCGAAAAAGTGTAAACAAAATAAAAGCGATTTTTACAAAATGTTTTTTTAAAGAAAATCTTTTTAATATACATATTGGCCAAATAATAATACATAAATGTAAGCATATTAAAAAAATTTATATATAATGCCATGGAAAATCGAGATGAAACCAGATTTTGACTGATGTCTTACGTGCAATAGTCATTTAAATGTTCTGACAATCTTACTCTTCTTCCAGAACGCGTCGTTTTAAATCTATTTTCAGATACTGTCGAAGTATCATCGTGCGTGTTGGTTGTCGGATGAGGTATTATAAGTGTTGGAGTCGTGTTGTTCGATTGTGCCGAAGGAAAATTGACGTGGATAGGATTCGCCTCTAAATACGCTGCTTTGAGGCGATCGATGTTGATGCTATCGTTTGTTCCGTTCTTATCGACTATATAGTACTTACATTCACGTCAAAGAACTTTGAACGGTCGTTCGTATGCTGATTCGAATGGTCGTCGATGCGAGTCTCGACGAATGAAGACGTGTGTACTATATCGTAAGTCAGGTTGAACGAAAACATCGGTTGACTGAGGTAGAGTGGAGGCAGGTTTAACTGAACGCATTGCGTTTGTGAGCCTGTTCGTGTAGGAGGTTAGATCCATGTTCATTGAAGAGGATGAAGGATCCACAAATTCTCCTGAAAGTCGAAGTGTCGTTCAATAAACTAGTTGAGCCGCAGTGTATTCAATGTCAGCTTTCACTGCATTGCGGATACCTAGTACGACGAGTGGAAGAGCGTCGGTCCACTGTGAAACGTTCGCGGCTGATAGTCAAGCTTTTAGTTGTCGGTGAAAGCGTTCTACCAACCCGTTTGCTTGTGGACGGTAGGCGGTCGTTCTGAAGCGAGTGATTCCTATAAGTGTGGCCACTGTTTCAGCAGTGATGTCCTTGATAGGTACTGCTTCTGACTATCGAGTAAAACAGTCAACGCAGGTTAAGTGATAAGAGTATCTGTAGTGGCATTGGACAATAGCCACACAATCCACAAAGCTGTGAACACGAGACTACACAGAAAATAGATATTCAACATTTAACGCGGAGAAATACCCAACAATGGAGAAGGCGCGTACAATGAATTGAATAGACTGAGTTGATCGAGTGGCATGGCTCGGCCATGCAGGCGTGGTCCCTGCTGGATGTTATCTTATATCTCCTATTCATATTAAATATATTGTTCTTTCTCTAGCCTAACCTTGTTCTACATCATGTATTGGTAATTGATACGATACGGTGGGTTGGTGTAGTCGATGGTGTGACTTCCACGTAAGATCTTATAGATTAGTCAGTTATATCATGACAAATCTACAATTTTAGGATTAGGTCTATTATTAGAGCAGTACTAATATCATAGTAGACCATAATTCTACATATCCATTTGAATCTGGTAAAGTTCCTACCAAATCCAGATGAAAATGGTCGAAACCAACGTCGGGAGTTTTAAATGAGCCTAAGGGACATTTATTGTGTCTGATAATTTTAGATTCTTGGCAGCTTACACAGGAGCGTGCCCACTCCCTCGCGTCTTTATTCATACCAGGCCAGCAAAACCGTTCTGCTATAAGCTTGATGATTGCACGAACACCTGGATGAGAACGTTTGTGCAACGTATTAAAGACGTTGCGTCGATAATGTTTTGGAACGATTGGACGATCCCTACCTGTAGATGTGTCACATAGTAAGGTTTCCTTACCTGTTCCCATCTGTTTAATGCATAGCTTGAGTGTTGTAGACGACAACTCGTGCTGAAGATCAGTGTTTTCTTTTTGAATCTATGTGAGTCTCAGAAGGTCGATTCCTTGGAAACTGTTTAAGGAAGTTATGCGAGACAAGGCGTCTGCGACCACATTGTTTGCTCCAGAAATGTGTTGAATATCTGAAGTAAACAGCGAAATGTAGTTTAGTTTTCAAGACTTACGAGGTGAGTGCTTGTCTGAAGATGAGCTTAAAGAGAAAAGAAGCGGTTTATGGTCAGTGAAAAGGGTGAATTCATGGCCTTCGTTATAGTGTTGAAAATGCCGTGCAGCACAACACATAGCTAGGAGTTCCCTACCGAATATGCTGTACTTCGTTTCGGTGTCTGGCAACCGTCTAGAGAAAAATGTCAAAGGTTGCCAGGACTAGTTTAACCATTGTTGTAAGACTTCTCCGACTGCTGAATCCGATGCGTCTACCACGATACTAATGGGTGCTTTAGTGTCCTTATATGCAAGCATGGTAGCTTTTGCGACAAGTTCTTTAATTGTGGAGAACGCTTTTCGAGCAGTATCTTTCAAATTGATGGATTTCGTATTTCCACGAAGTTGGTGGTTTCATAAGTGACACGCAGTTTAGCATGAACGTCTATAGAAATTCACAAGGCCGTTAAACGTGCGTAATTGCTTGACGGTGGTAGGTTCTGGGTAATCCTGAATGGCCGCCACTTG